ACAATCCTGCAACACAGTGTTGGTAGAGGGTTGAATTTTGATTAACCACGGACATGAGCCATAAACTGATCTTATTCAAACTCCCTTTAAATTTTGTGAAAAGAAGAATGTTCAAACCAGTATCCTGTCCAAATTCCATGCTGGATAATTACATTCAGCCCACCTACACAGATTGGCAGCTACTGAGAAATGCACTGAGTTGTTGAAACTGTAGGGAGCCAAAAGAGCATGGGCAAATTAAATCACTGCATGAACAAAGGCTTTTGTCTTAAGCTTTCTCCATGAGAAATGAAAGATCCTCTTTTAAAAGAGTGACATCAGTGGAAAGCTTCTATGCTACAAATTCAAGACACACTCCTTTGAACTATAGATCAAGGTGTTTTGCATGTCTCTCCCTGTTCAAAAAAGAGAAATGGAGGTAGATATGAAGGGAAAAGTCTATTAGGCAAGGTAAGCACTTGACTTACAAGGTGGGGAGATCACCTCTGAACAAATCAGAGGGTTTGACAAGCAGGATTAAACTCTTGTAGGAGATAGGACTTGATTAACCATCTTAAAAATTAAGTCAAGGAGCTGGCAACCAGCAAGAAGTCTTTGAAAAATAGCAGTAACTTTGTCTGACTGGCTTAGCTTAATTAAGTGGAAGAAAGATTGACAAGTAATTTGTTGGAAAAGAACATTATGGATACAGCTAAATGAAAAATGTCTTTTACCTCCAATTGTCAAGACGCTTTCCTTCTGTTTCCAGATGATTTATGTTAGTTTGTAAGTAAACAGATGTGTTTAGATGTTGCAGTCACTTTAGCAATGTGCCATAGTAAAGGAGGAGCTGCATCTAGCACCAGCTTGTTAGTACCACTCAGGAGTGTTTTACTTTCAGTGTGCTTAATTCATCGGGTTTCCTTAATCCTCTTCATATATGGAATATTCAAGCAAGTGTACATTTCAGATAGCAGATTTAATTTACCTGCATGGATATACTTGTATACAGTTGCCCTGTTTGCAGTTTGACATCTTATGCCACCAATTATGCAAAATTTGCCTTTATTGTGAAATGAGTTTTTTGGGTTGAGTTGGAGCCAAGTGACACCTAGTTAAGAATCTTAAACTGCATAGAGACACCTGCATGAATACAGCCTAAGTCACATATTATAGTAATGAGATGTGATTGGTATTGGCTTATGTGCTCTTTGAACCCAGCTGTTATTATTTGTGTACCAAGATTTACGACATTGCATGTTGTGCAATCCTAGTCAGTAATGCCTTAGTGCCATGATGGCAAACCTTTGGCCAGCTTCATTGCATATGCATGCACATCTCCCCCAAAACAGAGTGCAGGGGGGCCTGGAAAGCCTTCTGCACCAACTTGGAAGCCAAAACAGGGTGTGGGGAGAAAAGCGCTCTCCCCCCCCATGCACAGTTTTGGGCCTGGAACACCTCCTGCATCAATCTGGAAGGCAAAATGGGGCACAAGGGCACCACACGAGGCCCCCTGCACCCCATTTTGGCCTTGGAATGCCTCCTGCACCAACCAGGAAGCAAAAAATGGGTGAGAGGGGGTCGGGGCGCATGCACGGGGGGTCATGCATGCATGCTCGGGGGGGGGCAGGTGGTTGTGCACACACATTGCATTATGGGTGTGGGGGCTGCTGCCATTCCCATATGCCCATGCTTTCATCATGCAATGACAAAAAGGTTAGTCATCACTAATTAGTGAGATACCCAGATCTTTTTATTTCATGACATTTCGCCCTTCCTTTTGACAATAACTAGCCAATTACACACACAAAGCATCCCAAAAAATTTAACATAGTCCAAGGAATTCCATTCCCAATATAGAAACCACAGGGTAATGTTCAACAAAAGCAGATTGCAGCTTTGAGTGGCATTATTACTATCATGTCCTTGAGCCAACTGCAAAGATTTAAGTATGATGGGGAGTTAAACGAGTGAAGGTGTCATTGTTCTGACCAGTGCTCTCAATCAGGAGATAAGAAAGAAAAAGCTTCATTAGTTTCCATTCTTCCTCCGCTCCCACCTTTTACGCCGATGAGAATAGGAGGATATGGCTGACACAAATGGGCCATATCTTATTTCTGTAATTAAGATATGCATACAACTTGAATTTCTTCATATTATTCGACTGTTTCGGAAATCTTGGCAGAGTGAAATCAAAGGGAGATTATTAAGAAACCACAGACAAAGTGGCAATTGACACTGAGACAATTTTGTGGCTTTAGTTTACATCCTTCCAGGAAGTGGGCTTCAAAAATTTCAGCAATGGGTTCTCTGCCCGGTTGCTGGGTGGGCGTGGCCTAGTCAGCCTTCCGCACCACTGGAATGGGAATTTTTGCCTTCCCCAGGCTCTGGAGGCTCTGGAGGTGCTGGAGGCCCTCCAGACGCCAGAAACAGGCCCATTTTCAGCCTTCCAGAACTTACAGGAGGCCCATTTTTTCCCCTCCCTGAGCCTTGCACGGGCCCTGCACTTACCTCACATCCCAAATGGGCCAAATGGAGACTCCTGGGAGAGGAGGGGAGGGGAGGGTGTGCCCAGCCAAGGGTAGGATTTGGAGGTTCTCCAAACCGGCCATAACGTTAGCTAAGGGTTCTCCCGAAACCAGGCAAACCTGTAGCAGCCCGCCCCTGCATCCTTCTTGCTGTTGTCTTAGGTGGGCATTGCTCTTCTTGCCCCCTGCTCCTGGGTAAGATCCTGGATATGCATGCTGCACTTAGCCACAAGATGGATTGTTTGTGTCTGAGATTACAAATCATGTTTATGGCAAAGATTAGATGCCTAATTTTTTTCCAGGGCCACAGCACACTTCTGAGCACCGTGTTGGAGGCTAAAGTCCCAAATTAGTTGTTGGAGCCAGGACAAACATTTCATTTCATTTCAATTGACAATTAAATAAATTGCAGTATAATTAATATAACTATCTTTTATTGATGTAATGAGTAATTTTGTCTTTTCGCACATTACAGTCAACATTATAATTTGACAATAACTTGAGTTGGGAGTCAGATCCAAAGATCAAAGGGTCTGTATGTGGCCATATAGCTCCTATTGGGTAGCCTTGGTATATGCTTAGTATGTTGCATGAAACGAATCCGTTATGATTTATTCAAAAGAAAAGAAGGTTAAGTAACCACAGTGCAGCATAATATGTGATCCATCTGCAAAATGTCCAGCTACTTAAAAATTGGCTTACTCTATATGAAAGCTTATTAGCTAGATCACAAAGAAACAATTGATTTCAAAATTCAGTATTTCACTGTTGCAGCAGTATTTCACTGTTGCAGCACTCAGCCAACCTTGGCTTATCTCCAAAAAGGTAAGTTAGACATGATTAATATTTTGGATAAGAGGCCATTAGGAAATCTCAGGAAATTCACAGAAGATAATAATAGAAAACTATTTCAATACTTCTACACTGTTACTGCTAAACAATTGCACAGTTTTATCTATGTGGTTGCCACATGTTCAGCTTCCTTAGGAAGCATTTTGGGGAAAGCATCAGTTCTAGGATTCAAAAACTTTTACTACCATTTCTGGGGACGTGGCTTGTTGGGCATGGCCTGACTTGGTGGGCGTGGCATGGGAAGGATACTGTAAAATCTCCATTCCATCCCCACTCCAGGGGAAGTTTACTACAAAATCCCCATTTCCTCCCAATCAGCTGGGACTCGGGAGGCAGAGAATAGATGGGGGTAGGACGAGTCAGAGGTGGTATTTACCAGTTCTCCGAACTACTCAAAATTTCCGCTACCGGTTCTCCAGAACTGATCAGAACCTACTGAATACAACTTCTGGAAAGTAGACAGTGTGAAGTAGATACCCACCAAGGCTGAAGTTCAACCACACACTATCTCTCTGGAGAGCCCCAATCAGTCTCAACNGCCCACAGAACCGGTAGTAAAAAAATAATAATCCCACCACTGATCTTATATAAATCTTTGAAGTCACATTTTCTCAGGCTCACAAGACCAAACCTGGACAAGAGCATATGTAGACTTCAGCTACCAGTTATCAGGCATTTATAACACACACTTCCTCATGAGCAGAATCTTATTTAGCTATGCAACCATTGCCAAACGACAGACGCATGCAGTGATGAAGAAGTCTAATCCAGGCTTAAGAGTATATGTTCAAAGCAGGGGACACATTGAGCAGGTGGCAGCATAATGGTTATCTCTAAATCTTAATCATGAAGAGAAACATGATTTGGATCACGACCCTATTATTACTATGATTATGATTACTTACTAATACCACTTCTAATGAAAAGCCAAGAATAGGTGAGGCAGAAAATTGCCTATAAAGTGGCTCAGCTGGAATCTAGCCATTTCAGAAGCAATATTTTTCTTATTATACTCTACACTGGACACTACTTCTACTAATCTGAATTTGTATCCTTGACTCCCCCCGCCCCGACTACTCTGAAGACAGAAGTTTTGATTCACATAGCAGGGTTGATAAAAACAGAGCTCCTACTTAAAAGAGCTGGGGGAGTGGGGGTTGAGAATAATGTGGCTTGAAATGCTACAATTAGGGATCACATGTAGTTTAGCCTAAGCCATTTCTGCTTCCCATAATGGCAGTTAATAGAGACGCCACTGCTGGAAATTCTGGAAATTTACCACTAATAGGAGTGCATGTCATGAAAACATATCATGATATATTAGGGATGGCTGAGTAATCTGAGTGAATATGTACAAATGCCCATTGTTCATGTAGAATACTATATTTTTCTTTAAAAGAACAAACTATACCAATATAATTCTCTTATAACTATTGGGGAGAATATCAAGCCACTTCTCTGGATCTTTTTTTCTTCTGGTGTTTTTCAACTTTTTTTGTTTTTTTCTTTTTTGCTTTGTCTTTGCTTTTTTCCCCTTCCTTACTTTATCTTAGTTTTTATTAGTTTTTCATCTTCTTTTTAAAGGTTTAAATAAAAATCATACAGCTATAAATGACTTAGATATACAGTAGGCATATGTACCTATATTAATGTGCCCATTTTCTTAAGAGGCTCTTGAAACTGGCAGACGTGATATGCACTTGGTCATGGATGAGCCACAATATTGCTGATGAATCAGGTAGTGTGATTGAAGAGCTCTTTCATATTGGGAATAAGCCAAGATGAAGTCATCTTCTGCCAGCTTTCCTAGGTAGATCAGACAGGAAATTCAAACAGATGAGTTAGTTCTATCTTATTGTAAGGCTACATTAACAGAGCCTTGCAAGTCTGATAGTATAAATCTCCTGCCATCTCCCTGATAAGTTAGGGAAGTTCCTTTTTGAGTTTCTTTTTCTGCCCATTATGCAGCTGTAGGCTATGCTCTCTCTTATCTGCTTGTTTCCAAGGCAGCATCTCTTTCCGCCACCTCCCCCACCCCAACTCCCAAGGTCATTCCCACATAGAATCATAGAATCACAGGGCTGGAAGGGACTTTGAAGGTCTTCTAGACCAACTTCCAATGATAGAGCACCCACAGTTCCCGGAGGCAAGCTGATCCATTAATTGCCCTTACTGTCAGAAAATTTTTCCTTGTTTCCAGGTTGATGAGTTTCCACTCTTTGCTTCTTGTCCTATCTTTTGGTGCTATGGAGAATAAATCAACACCTTCCATGTGCCAATTCTTCAAGCATTAGAAGACTGCTATGTCTCCCCTGAGCCTTTTCTTTGTTAGGCTAAATATATCTAGTTTCCTTAGCTGTTGTTCATCAGTTGTTCTTCCTAGGACCTCAGCAACTTTATTTGTATTGTGGGATCAGAACTGGATGCAGTATACAAAGTTTGGTTTTACCAAGGCAGTATTTAGCAGTACTATCATTTCCCGTGATCTTTACAATATTCCTCTATTAAAGGTAAAGGTTCCCCTCGCACATATGTGCTAGTCGTTCCCGACTTTAGGGGGAGATGCTTATCTCCCTTTCAAAGCCGAAGAGCCAGCGTTGTCCGAAGAAGTCTCCGTGGTCATGTGGCCAGTATGACTAAACGCCAAAGGTGCATGGAATGCTGTTACCTTCCCACCAAAGGTGGTTCCTATTTTTCTACTTGCATTTTTACATGCTTTCTACTTGCATTTTACATGCTAGGTTGGCAGAAGTGGGACAAGTAATGGGAGCTCACTTCGTTACATGGCGCTAGGGATTTGAACGGCCGAACTGCCAACCTTTCTGATCGACAAGCTCAGCGTCTAAAACCATATTGGGTTTCTTTGGCAGCTGCAGCACACTTCTGATTCATATTTAAGCAGTGATCCATCAGGATACCTAGAACCTCCTCACAGTAGCTACTGTTAAGCCAGGTACGTCCTATTCTATTTCTATGCATTTTGTTTTTCCTGCCTAAGTGCAGGACCTTACTTTTGTCACCACAGAACTGCATCTTGTTGGATAGGGCCCAATGCTCAAATTTCCCAAGATCTTTCTGAATCTTGAGTCTATTCTCCAAAGCATTGGCAGCTTGTTTTTGAGGGATGAGTTTCCCTTCTATCCCCTCATCTAAATCTTGGGCCCAAGACAGAACCTTGAGGTACCTCACTGCATGCTTCCCTCCATGTAGATGTAGCTCCATCAAGGACTATGTGCTGAACGTGGTTGATTGATCAGCCAACTGAGAATCCATCCGGCAGTAGTATTGTCTATTCCACTTTGTTCTATTTTACCACGAAGTAGGTTCTGATCTACTTTGTCAAATGTCCAAGTAGACTACTGTATATCCACAGCATTTCCCTGATCCACTAATTTAGTCACTTTATCAAAGAAGGCAATGAGGTTTGTCTAATCTGTTGTGTTTTTCTTTAAAGAAAACCATGCTGGTTTCCAGTAATCACCTTGTTGATTTCTAGATGCTCACAAATGCTCTGCTTGATTATTTTCCAGGATTTTCCCAGGTCTGTATTTCCTGGATCTTTTTGCCCCTTTTGAATACTGGAACCACACTAGCTCTTTCCCATTCCTCTGGTAGTGCCTCTGTGGTCCAGAAGCTCTGAAAGATACCATTCAGTGGTCCAAGGTCACATCTGCCCGCTCCTTCAGTACCTGGGATATAAATCATTTGGTCCCGGAAACAAAACATTAACCTTCTCAACTCAAACCTCAGACTTGCCACAGAGTTGCAATAGGACCATGTCAAAGAATTACTGCCCATATTAATGTACATCTCTCCAAGTTGTTAAACATTTCTCAGTTCCTATTCTTAAGATTATGTAAGAGACTCCATGGAACCACTCCTTGAATCCATGTAGACAGAAGGTTGTGGTCTGTTTTTCCCACAAAGACAATAGCTAAACAAGCTTCTCCGTGGAGACTCCTTTCCACTGAAGCTAGGCAGATGTTCTTCTAAATTGCTTGCTTAAATGTCAATGTGTTTGTCTTGGAGCTTGATTCACATATATAGTTCTATGTAAAAGTTCAGTTGCATCTAGTCAAATTTATGTTTCAATGCATCCCTCAGTGAAAAGAAACTGACGAAGTCTCTACATGGTACTAAGTTAAACATTAAGTCTTTCTGCAGATTTCTTTCTGGAACACTTTATATTTTCAAAATGTGAAGGTAATAAATATTGCAGGTGTAGAAGCTCCACCTACAGTCAGCACCCTATAAAATGTCCTTTAGGAGAGATTATGGAAAAGTTCAGCTAGGAAATTTCATACGGGAGAGAATTAATAAAACTGAATGTAGGGTGGTAGGATATTGCAAAATTGCTTCTCTCATCCTCCTCCCATGCAGCCCTTCCCCTTCATATCCTCCAATCTGTTCTGAGATAATGCAGACCCTGTTAAAGGCAATTGATGAAATGAATTATGATGAAATGGTATTAACCAGAAAGGTAACAACGATGGTGTATGGAGTTGGCTCCATATCAGAATGGTTACAGAAATAGTTCCAGGTGGTGATGGGCAATGATCTTGGCTTTAAATGAATATATTTCCCCTTAAGTAAGAGTGTAGGGGAATTAATCAAAGTGCAGATCAAAGTGCAGAAAATAATAAGGTTTTCTTCCCTGGAAGTGAGAGTCCTAGTGAGAGTGGGGGCAAGTTACGGTAGAACCCTACTAAAAGGAAATTCAAGGTAGGAAGTTGTGCCAAATTCAGATTCAGGGTATTCAGAATAGACATTGAGGATGTTGACAAAGGGGATGTTCAGTGTGTAAGGCATCTGGCCACCGAAATTAGGGAAGAGATCACACCAGGAAGATCATTCTATTAGAGAAAGTGCTAGATGGGCCATTAAAGAAGAAGAGGAGATGGAAATTTGATGCCAATCAAAATCTGTTATTCGCATTTTCCCAGGGAACTATGCATCAGATATTTGAGAGTCTTGGCTTCAAGCTAGTGTTGTCAAGCTAATGCCTGACCCATCATGCTTCTCTTAATTGTGGAGAACAGGTTAGATTTAGCTTGCATCACAAGGATTTGGTTGGATGAGGATGATGAATTCTCAAAACGGAGAGATGGGAGCCTTGAGCAGGTCAATCTATGTTCCTTCAGGGCATGGACTCTTACTATTTTGTTTAACATTCCAGCATCAATGAATAGCAATATATTGAGAGAGAAAGGGGGAGGGAGGGAGGGAGGAAGGGAGGAGGGGGAGGAGAGAAAGAGAGAAAGAGAGAGAGGGAGGGAGGGAGAGAGAGAGAGAGATCTTCTTGCACCAATTGATGTGCAAGTTTTTTTTAATGAGCATTTTAAAAAAGAAACTTTTACAAATATTTACTCCCCCCCCCCCCCCCCCCCCCCC